AGATAGGGAGAAAAGAAAGGGATGGAGTAAGAAAACAGTGAGTACTCAGGCAGAGTTTCGATAAGGTAGGGAAGAGGGGAGAGGGGAGAGGGGAGAGGGAAGAAGAGAGAAAGGAAAGATGAAAGGGGAAGGGAGGGAGGGAAGGGAGAAAACAGTAAGCACTGTATCGGCTCTGTTTGATCTTATATGTGGGTGGGCAGAAGCTAGGAGTTCAAAGTGTGCATGCTTACATTCTTGGTACTGTTTAACTGACTGTATCTCCTTGTCTGTTCTGCATTATTGCTTTGCTTGGAGCATCATATTCTGCTCAAGAGATTGCCAGCTGTTGCTGTGTGTTCCTTTGGACAGAGAAATGCTATGATCAAGCAGCTGCGTTGCCATTTAATCAGTTGTGTGTGTGTGATGTGTCTGTCAATTTCGTTTAACCAGTTGTGTGCGTGTGATGTGTCTGTCAATTTCATTGTCGGAAATTATTCTGCAGAGTTAACAACAAAGACTGGGCGGCAGATTTGAGGAGAATGTCATATGGAACAGCATTGACCGTGCTGACAATGTGGCTGATCAAACTACAGGTAGGCCTTCTGTTGTCGAGTACAGGCTACCCTTGCTCTGGACTGCATCGTGGGCTCACTGATCTGTCAAACAAAACTGCACGGTATGTGTGCATAGTAGCATACCCCTTCGGACATAACAATGAGCATGTCGGCTTGGAATTATTATTCTATTTAGTCTGCGTGCGCTCTGACCCTCATTTTCATGACCTCCCTCCCTCCCTCCCTCCCTCCCTCCCTCCTTCCTCTTACCCCCTCCTCCTTCGTCTCCTTCTCCGCGACACCTTCTCCTTGCCTCCTTTTCCAACGGTGCAAAGTGGACGAAATGTCTTCAGCAACATAGGATGAAGGAATTTGGCCCTTCTGGTCCAAGTTGCTGTGGTTGCTTCTTGTATACGCTCTCTGCACGGCAAACCTTTTTTTTTTTTTTGTTTCCCTCGTTGGTTCTTATATGTGCACACACTGTGGAGTACTTATCCTCGTGAACTGAACCCATAGTGAATGACAGATGGGGAAGACCCCAGGAGAATTAAAATATAACATTATTTTGGCTCACCGGTGGAAGGGAAGAGCCTGGTAGAGCACGCTGCCGCTCTCGCGTCGGATAGGACTTTCTCTATTCCCTCTAAGAAAGCAATTATATATACAATTACAATACAATCAATTCAATAAATACAGTCGCGGAATCTATTGAATTAAAATTTTGTGTCAATTGCTGGACTGTCCAGTAGGTGAACTTTGCCTCAGAAACTGCAGACGCAGCCTGTCTTACTCAGCAGCCGTTCGTTCCCCTGGATTTCTTATTGAGTCCGCACTCAATCTCCGTGTTTGTGATTCCGTGTTGCGGTTGAAGGCAGAGGTTCCAGAACAAAAATCACTAAAGGAGTCCTTCAGGACATCCTGTAAAATTGGAACGACACAGAGAATGAAGATTGGCATGGCCCCTGCACAAGGATGACACACAGAAATCTAGCCTAGAAATGGTCCACATTTTTGTCTGCATGTGTTTGTGTATGCTTGTGTTCTTAGTGTTGCCATTGTGAAATGCTGTTGTAATGGCAGTTTTGTATCTATATATATTGTCACATGTACTTGTGACTCTCATGACCTAAAAGAGAGCATTTTGCGAAACAATCGATAAAAGTACACAAGACAGACATAATGTATCATCAGTTTTGTGTGTATAAACAGTTTGTCACAGCCCCTCGTTTGTTGTCCTCTTCTCCCTCTCTGCCTACGGTTTACCGGGCAGTTCTATTTGACGATATATACTACGACTTCGCTTGCTTCCTGCTACGGTTTTCTCCGGTCAGGTCGAGCGGCAGTGGTCGGGGCCGTCACTACGCGGCCATGCTGTGCCTCTAGTGCCAGCGGCGTGTCTGGAGTGTATTTTTTGGCTGTGATAGACCTTTCTTTGTT